CCGTTCGGCTGTTCTGGACACGGGTTGCCGCTTGTTTGTTGAAAATAAATCAATATCCATACAAGAAAGACACACAATCACTAACAAACTAAGTAAACATGTCGGTAAATGTGCCAGTGGCGTTAAGATGTATCTTTGTGTTTGCTCAGCCACCTGGGGCATTTCACTTCAAAGGTCGCGCTCTGTTGGCCGCGGGACCCGCCGCGTGGACTTCTCCCGGACTCGCTCCTGGGCCGATCGGCGCCAATTGGTCACGGTCCTCCCGGGCCCTCGGATCGATGTCCGGCTCGATCGCTGTTGAGGTCACGCTGACCTTTCAAGGGCATCAGCATTATCATCGCAGTCCATGAACAGATAGCTCGTAAATCTCGCCACCGCGGCAGCCACGGTGGCACCTTGCCTGGTATACATGGAGTCGATCCCAGCCCTGACACCTGTATATTTGGAGTTTGCGTGTCTTTCTCACCGTTTCCGGGTCCAACGATTTTCCCCTCCACATTTAGAATCAACATCACGCGTTCAGAGTATTTGACTGCAATACATTTCCACGTGATAAGCCACTTAGTTGAGCTATAATTTGTGGCCAGGTCGCTTCTGAAAAAGAACTATATGGCTGGGTGGGCCTGGTCAAATATAAAATAGTTTTTAATAGTTTGTATCGGTGTTCACTGCACATTTTGTAATTTGTTTCCACTTACCTCTGTCTCTCGTACCAACATCCTCACTTGGTGCACACCTTGCTGCCACCAATCTCGCGATGTCGTCACCAAGCCATTCTCCTCTCTTTCTGCTTCCTTACATTTTTCCCAAACAACAACAACACTTACATTTTTCCCGAACAACAACAACAACACTTACATTTTTCCGATGGATGTCACACCCTGCAGTCGCGTCGATCTGGCTGAGTGCAGCTGTGTGTCGGGAAGCACTTGACTCACGGTCACGAGGTCACGAGTTCGAATCCCATTCGAGAGGGGGCAATACTGTATTCCACACAGATGGGACAGGTGGAATCGACATTTGTTGCTGTCCTGCATTCACCTGGCAAAACTTAGAATATACCACCACCACCACAACGGCCACGGGAAGGGAGTTTCAAAACATGTGCGGTGATCCACCAACCTTGGCTGCCTCCACAGTGTTGGACTGCAGGCCGCATGCATAGCCACCACCGCTTCATAGACAATACACCTCCTTTCCAAATTAGTCTCTTCACATAAAAAATATAAAATAAATTGCACATCCCATTGGCCGGACGGCCTTCTGGGAATGATGTTTTTCAGCAGCATTGGTTTAATACACACAACACTCTTCGTGCCACATCCAGTGTCTCATCAGCCGGTTCAGGGCTTGCTTCAACCAGAGTAAGCCCCAAACGCTTTCCTGAATGTCCCTTTGGCTCGATTCACATCGTGACGGATGTTTATTCTCATGAGAAATAAGTAAAAAAATTGAAATTTTAAACTCAAAGTCATGCCAACGTCACTGTCGACTTCGCAATGGGTGTTTCTTTTCAGGCATGATCTCGAGCGACGATCGTTTAATCAGCGTTGCGTAAATACATAATTGCAGGGGCATGACAAGTGCTCAGCGTGATGTGAATATTCATAGGCTGCGCGGAGTGGAAAATGTTTCCATAATTGCGATTATCGGCAGCGGCTGCTGTTGCGTCACAGCGGATTACGGTGCTGGTGAGGAAACTATTCACACCGGACCACCAGAATGTCTAAAAAACACGCGCTATCAAAAATTCCACCCCTGTTGTTTAGCACGCCGCACGAGATAATGGTATCGCTTTATTTTCACGTTTCACCACGGTTGAAGATTACTCAGACGATAGCGGTGTAGTGGCGGTAACGGTCCTGGAGAACCCGGTTCAGTACACAGTGATCATAACAATAATCATATTTTATTGAATTACAATAGTTAGTTTTGTATAGCGTCGTTCATGCAAATTACGTAATTTTTGCACAGAGGGACGGGAAAGCCAAGGCGAGCGGGGGAAAGGCATCCAGAACCCGTGCAACCACATGTCCAACGTTCTGTGGTCCTCCTATGTTGGGATGTTTGACCAACTCCACTCCTGAGTGAGTGTATACACATGCGGGTAAAGCGGAGAACCCAGAGAGAACCCACGCGTGTGAGCGGGTCAACACCCCATCCCTGTACAGATGTAGATTTACCCACTTGCTGTACTGCTATCGTAGCCTGGCAATCCAGGAGTTGGCAACCTCGACACCCACGGGTATGGAGTTTCAAGAATGTGTGTGACCCACCAACCCTTGCCACCGGTGTGCTGGATGAAAGGTGTTCTGGTGTTGCCGTAATCGTTCTGTTGTTGAGGCATCTGTCCTGGGAAATCTGTAAGTCTTCCCGCAACATTCCAGTTTTAGTTGTTTCACGATGCGCCACTCAAGACAATGTATTTATATGCATGCCTCCCATCTTCTGACATCGTGACATATTAGTCTTCCCAGGATATGTCCCGGGTTATTGTTTTCTGTTGACCCTCAGAGTTGGCACCAGTCGCAACTGGTATTAGAACACGGACGAAACATCTCCCTTGGGTTGACTTAGCCTAAAGTGATCACCCCGTTCAGAGTGCCAATTAAAGCACTGGCTAGAGAACGATGGACAGGTATGCATGTTGGTGGCCATTGGCTCCTAATGGAATGGTCTGAGGTCAGTTTTTAATTGCTGCTAAGGCTGCAGAGATTAACTGCACCCATGATGCAAAAAATTATGATTTAGGCACAGAATTAAATGCAAGAATATTTTTAAAATATATTTTTTGCTGCATTTAGCAGCCTCTGGAGTGGTCTTTTGAGCTTAAACACGAATAACAAAGCATGTAGTCTTGCACGCATGCACATTGGTGTGTTTATCGTTAACGTAAGAATCGATATTCATCGACAACATTTGACATCGCGCTCTAATAATTTATAATATTAGAAATTACTGACAGGGTATGAATGAGCACCATCTAGCATTTGGCGGGAGAGGCGTGTTAAGGTGCTGTCATCGTGCAGGCAGCGTTAATTTAGCCGCTTGACGATATCCGTCCACCCACCCACGGTCATTGTTGACGAATAATGATCTTCACTAATTTCGTCAACTAAATCGACCCTGCTCTCCCGGGCCCATTCCCTGGCCATGACGCGGGGCTCTGACAGCCGCGGGAATTCCAGAAGGGCCTCCGTCGTTCGTCTCACGACAGCGACAGTAGCGGTTAAACTCAAAATAAAGAATACATTTACGACAATAAAACAAAAGGTACAAAATAAATCCATCCGTCTGAATAAGCGGCGTGCAGCGTACCTCCCCGGTGCCACGGGTAAACTCGCGGAGAGCAAACGCGTGCCCCTTAATAATTCACGCTTTGGCTAGAAGGGACAGTCTGTCGTTTCGCCTGCCCTAATGCAAGGAGGCGTCGTGGAAGACTGCTTGGGCCCCTTGGGTTCGGAGCGTGGCCCGAAGCCTTCCCCGCCCGTGGAAGCACGATGATCGCGTGAAACTGAGCGGCGTGGCTTTCCCAAATCCTTGATGGTCCTGGTTGCCCTCTTGAACCAACCAAGTCGTCCCAATTAGCAGCGACTCAAACAAACAAGTGCGTTGGGAGGGCTGCGAAGTAGGGCACGGTGATACCTGCAGGTACCGCGTCCAATACCCAAAGTAACGGGATTGCTGCTGATTGTGGCATGCATCATGCCAGTATCTCAGTCCTGGCAACGATAATTATCGTGTACAAGTGTCTTGTGCTTCATTGGGCTCGGGGCAGTACGCATTTCCATTGGCAGCCCAGGCACGCGGTAGAAATTCCACATTCGTATCGCAGAGGATAGGGATGGTGGAATGGGTAGCACACTGGCCTTGCAATCCAGAGGTCCCCGGTTTGACCCCCTGCCGCAGCCGGTAAAGGATTAATAAATACCCATCAACGCCTCTGTCCTCGCAGCAGTAATCAGAATCAAAATCTTTATGTGTGGGTACTCTTACCTTTTGTCAGACATTCTACCAACATGGAAGAGTAGGCCAAATCACCCTGTATTGGAGGCCTGTCTGCCAGTGGTGGCATGATCAATTAGGTACAGAGCTGCACCTTTACCTTTGGCACCTTATGGCAGGCTTTTGTCTCCCGAGCAAAACGTATTTTTAAACAATGTCAAAATGTCTCTTTGTTTTTCAACACTCCTCTTGTTTTGCTGATACTGTAACCGAATCATTCGGCCCATCTGCCCATGACGTGATTCCTTGATTTGATTGGCTTTCTCAGGTGCCACGGTGGCGAGATGTTAACTACCTCGCCTCGTATGCAGGACGCGGTGGGTTCTATACCAACCCTGATGCCTGCTGCTGTATGTTTGGACTTTGCGTGTCTCTCTCCCCGTGGAAGTGTGGATTTATCCAGGTCCATGCCTCTAGAGTGTTTGGCCGCTCTACATTTACATGTGATATTCCACTTTGTTGAGCTCTCATTTGTGGCCAGGTCGCTTCTGAAAGAGCTACATAGCTCAGTGGGCCTTACCTGGTGAAATAACAAAAATATATTCAGCACACATTGGCATGCTTCTGGCCACACCACCCCTCTTCAGTTGCCATGCGCTACTCGCTAACTGCACTTGCCCTAACAGCCTGTTAAAGGCTTTCCGGGTGATCTTTGTCTTTGTGCATGAAAAGCAGTTACATTGTGAGCTCCTAAATGAAAGTGATCTGAGAGTGAGGCATGCGCCTTAACTAAACAGCCGAGGCAAGATTAGAGGGTTACGCTTAAAAGAAAGGGGGGGGGGGCAGTGGCAGTCCGCTGGCGCGCTGCAACCACCGCACCTAAAAACACCTAAGTTTGATTCCCAGCCACGGAAAATTGACGGCGTCGGTGTCATCGAGCGTCGCGTCACAGCTCGCCCCCCCCCTCCCCTCGCGAGTGTACAAGACTCCATCGTATTTGGGGGTCGGTGGCGCCCGTGGCGGTGCGCCGTCGTCGTTGTCCGCGCTGTGCGCAGGCGGCGCTGGCGGAGACGAACCTGCCCCTGCTGGGCGGGCTGGGGAACCCGGTGACGGCGGCGGCGCTCATGGCGAGCCACGAGGAGCTCAACGGACTCCTGGAGCACGCCAGCAGCAACGGCAGCGGCAGCAGCGCCGGCCACTCGCCCCCGCACGCGCTGTGAGCCCCGCGTTGAACACGCACGCCGTCGCGCTCCTCGCGCGTCTGAACGCGGTTTCGCACGTGTGCCCGCTTCGCCGTTTGCATCGTCCTGGTGCTGCTCGCCTTTTAGCGACCCTTGGTCCGGCGCTGGTCAGACGAGGCCTGCACCAGAGGCTGCCTCTGGTGCAGGCCAACCCCATCGCTGCCAACCCACACGGTTTAGCCCGTATTCTTGTGCAGGGAAATTGAGTTTCAGGTCCATACGGTGTACAGCCGTTTCAATACGGAACGAAAAAATGTGTCTATTTGTTTGTGTTTCTCCCTTGTGATGGGACTTTGTAGGATTAACGTTTAAATTTTGAAGGGCACGGGGTGACCACTAAGGTCTGAATTGGTCTGTAATAATGTAGGCACTGATAACGGGTTGACAGGTTTGTAATCCGTTTCCAGGACTGCGTACATTATCTAAGCATATTTGTTGGCGGGGTTTTTTTTCCCACGAGCAAGCGTGTTTACGCAGACACGATGCCTCCTAATTGGTGTCTGTTTGGTGTTTTTAGACATCCAAACGCCAGTATTTATGCCAAGCTATGTAACAGGATTTATTGTAATCGACCATCGCATTGTCATTTGTTAGAGTGCATTAACCGCGAGTTATCAACTCCCTGACTCCCTCGTGGCTGCACGTTGATGACATCGCACAACCACCTTCTTAAAGCCCACGACTGGCGGACGTTATCACAATTCGGAACAGCTGCCTGATGATGTTGCCTGTAACCACCAGCGAAACGTCTTGGACCCAACTGTTCAATGTGGGCGGATTTCTCTCCAGCAACAACTTAATTCATTGTCAAGTGGAGGAGGGTGTACAACACAACACGATCTGACCCAAAAATCTATTGTAAATCATGTGTTGTACTGTATTACATTGCACTGGTCGTGTTGTGTAACACTGCCTTACATTTTACACGGCTTTTGCATTCTCTTGTATCACATTGCACCGTATTGTATTACCATTCCAACACCTTGCATTGTACATATACTGTGCATTCTATCATGTTACATTGCACTGTGCGTTGTATTGTATAACATTGCACTGTGCGTTGTATTGTACAACATTGCACTGTGCGTTGTGTTACAATTTATTATCACCGAAAGCATCACTATGGTGCAATGTATCTGAGCCACTCACCATCAACGTGAAGCAGCCGTGGAAGTGTGAGGTTCACTGGGTTTGGATTTACTTGGATTGTAAAACGGTGAAAACAACAAAGGACACTTGGCATGCGGTAACCCCAGGTGTGCAAGATCAGAGATTCGCCAAATTCCAAAACACCAGATAAGCGTGCGTCTTTATAATTGATAGTTTCCAAGCACGCGTCCATCGTATGAAAAACAATGCTAGGGAATATGAGCTTTACGTTTCCTTGCGTTGACGAGTACATCTTAATCTCCACACACGTTATGGGAATAAAACATTGCCACGCGCACGAAACGTGCTCCGGTAAAAATGAATACGCGAGAGTACGTGCCCTTCACATATCCGTCTCTCCGCGTAATTTTTTTAAATAATTTCTCACACAACCCTTCGGCCGCTCGGCCTTCTGAGACATGCGTGATTTCAGCAGCCTTGTTTCAAGACAAGCAAACTCTCGACCGGTTTTGACACACAGTGTCTCATCAGCAGTCAGTCTTCCTTGAATCAATGCTGGTGAACTGTCGATCTTACTGTTAACGGCCCGAACCTCCGCTTACAATACGGGGTTCCAGTCAGTGAGTTTTGGGTTTATTTATATTTATATCTTGTGGTTTTTCTCGCTTAATGTGAATTCTGCCTTACTTGAGTCTGGCCTCAAGAGATTTTTCCATTAATGTATTTTCTTCATGTAGCCATTACATGCCAATAAAAAAAACACAATCATGCTGCACAACTGAAAAGGAAAACTGGACGAAGACTTAAATATCTTCTGAGTGCAATTCAGAAGTGATATTGTGTACAGTGGGATTAACAAAACAATTCAATACATTCGTCCGTAACACTGTGGCCTTAACAGGAAAAATATAAAACAGACGACGTTTTGGCTATGACCCTTCTCCATGGCACATAAATGAAGAATGCCCATTGACCAACGTGTCTCCCGTTATATATGTTTTCTGTTAAGGCCACACGGTGCTATTGACGACTGCGTTGTTGAGTTATCTTGTTGATTTTGCTAGTGCAGCAGCAGCAGCATCTCCAGCAACATCACCAAAACAATTAGTTCAACGTGAGAGGAAGGGTTCTGAGTTATGAGAGAGAATCTGCCAAGTGGAGTTGCTGCATTGACTTATGTAGCATTGCACTCAAGTGTGGAAGACGTTAAAACGGCCAAGTTAGGGTCATGAAGGTCAAATGGGCTGCATCGCATTGTAAGATACATTCCGCAGTATTTCTGAGTGAAACGAAGTTTCTTCTGGGACTAACTGGGCGCCTCTTGAGAGTCCGTAAAGTGCTCGCTGACCTGCTCTGCCCCGATCAAATTTTACAGCGCTGAACGCTTTTACAACGTGTTCCCAACGCCGCATTAGCGTATGAGTATGTTAACTACGAATGGAAGGGTTGGAAAGTGTGGGCAATTGGCACAGTGTGTAGCAAAACTAAACTAAAACTAAACTATTTTTATTTTATCAGGTAAGGCCCACTGAGCTGTATACATATTTTTCAAAAGCCACCTGGTCACAAATGATAGGCCATTGAAGTAAGTGGCTTATCACGTGGACATTTATCAGAATCTTTATTTATACTGGAGGAATCCGATGAGCTATAAAGCTCCTTTTACAGATGTCCAGATTTATAGCAGCCAAATATTCTAAATGCATGTTTCTGAATATGGAGGGAAAAACCGGAGAACCCAGAGAAAAATCTAAGCCACCACGGGGGAGAGCGCGCAAACTACAAATATGCAGGCGTCAGGGTCGGGATCGAACCCATGACTTCCTGTGTACCAGACAATGTAGTTAACATCTCGCCAAGACACAGATACCTCCTCAAATCGATAATACAATGAGTGGGAGCTGGGACCAGGGGAAGCATTACGATTCCTCTCCACCACCAGAGTGAGTGGCGCGTTACTCAGCTAACGACTGTCCCCAGCTCAGCCGTGGCGTCACCCACGCCGATGTCAGAGGCAGGGCCCCAGCTACCCTACCTCAAACGGCAGGGAAATTAAGACATTGCTGAGCGGCTAATTAGACGCTGACCCTACGCAGTAAGACACCAGTCACTACGCTGTAATTACGCGAGCGAAGGTGGAGGGGGAGGGCAGATGGAGGCCAATCGCAGTTCACAGAGGTCTGCACTCCGCGGTTATGGAATTAGTTTGACCGTAAATTGGGGTTTGCCCCTTCACGAGATGTGGAAACTTGGCATCGCACCGAAACGGCCTCGGCAAGTGCCACGTGTAACGCGGCGCTGCGGTGTTGATGCCAGAGTCCGCGGCGCAACGTTGGCACTGCCGCTGTGCCGAGCAGCAGCGGTGGCTGTCCTGAACAGGTGCTGCGTTGGCGTCTTTGAGAGGGAACGCACGTTGCGCTCCGTGCGTAAGCCCCTTACGCGAATGACAACTAATTTTAGGAGAGAAAGGAACCGCGGTCAGGCTGCAGTCACGCAAGCATGAGATTGAAATGTTTTTTTATTGTTTTTTTTTTCCCTCAATACGTATTTGGCTTTAAAGAGCACCATTTCAAAACTGTCCCTTTGGGACATTTGAATTGCTGCTCAATAATAATAAGAATGCGGAACATTCGTAAAGTGCTTTTCCCATATGTTTAACTCAACAAAATTAAGCGATGCAGAAGGAATTATTCCATTGGTTATTCAATTATGTCTGATTTAGCTAATTCATTGGGTTTTGTGCACACGTGCGATAAGCACGCAGGCCCTCTCGCACACACACGCACTCAATCTCCCTGTCTCGTACGCACGCAGCGCGGAGCCTCTCTCATACGTCCACGTGTGTGATTTAATCGTGAAATTACAAAAAAATGTGGCCTCCACAGTGGTCATTGCAGCGGTGTCAGCGTGCATTAACAATTTAGCGGGGAGCGGCGGCGCGGTGGTTAGCGCCCTGACGCTTATGGACTAGGTCTACCCGAGTTCCCGTTCCTGGCCGGGTCCAACATCAGCGGCGAATATCTGAAGCGGTCCCGAGCCTCCCCTACGTCAAATTACATTTAAATGAGCGCCCAGTGCGGTGCGTAAACACCGATACTGCGGGAGACAATGACCCGGCCAGGAATGACGTTGGCCGCACTAAACAGGGATTCGCCAGCAGCACTTGCCCCACGAGTCTGTACAAGGCGATAGAGTAGGAGGGGGATGTTTTTGTCATTGGTATGATGCAGCGGTTTGCATACCACACTACAAAGCCAGCAAACTGCGGTTCAACTCCCTGGCCGCACTCAATCACAGTGACAGTCGACGTCCGAACCTGCATTGGGCCACCCTGGGTTCGACTTCCAAAACGCGAGCGCCTGGTGCAGTGATGTGGTCAACAGTGATGTGGTCAACATTGGCAAAGGAGAGACAAACGGTGGCTCGCACGTGCGTGGTCCTGGCCATTGGTCTTCAGAGGTGCTCACTCATGACGGCGCTTCGCACAGTCAGCATCTACGGCTGAACCCAGGGCGAGGGGGTCACCTTCGTGTGCGTGCACGCTCGCGGCCGCCTGTCACTTCACGGTCAGCCGCGGGGTGAGTGTCAGCGAGAGCGAAGTGTTCTCACCGTGGATCCCCGACCTCCCCCTTCAAGCCCCCTTGTGTTTCCTCGCCCCCCCCCCCCCACGCGTGTCCCTGTGTGTGTGCGCGTGTGAAGCGAAAGGCATGCGTGGTGGCACAGCTTTTGTTCTCTCTCCCCGTAGTCTCAATTGGACAGAGGTGGAGTCTCCCCAACCACGGGGACCTTGGGCTCCTATGAGCCATGCGCCTGCACACAGGTGCGTTGAGAACCACCCCACCGCCGCCGGTTAGAGACGCGCGGTCACCCCCCCCCCACGCTCCCCTCGCCCCCCGCGTGGCCCCCGCGTGGCCCCGGCTCCTGCACTCACCACGTGTCCACGGAACCGGTAGAACAAACAGGGAAGAGTGCCAGCAAAGACGGGAACGGGTCACGTTTTGCAATTAGGGAGGAGGAGTAGGGGGGGGTTTGCAGAGTGTTAGGCGGGAGTGGGGGACGAGCGATCAGCAGTGGTGGTGCTGGTCTATTGAGGACTCTTAAGCAGAAGGGGGTGGGGTTGCGGAGGGAGGGGGGGGCTTTTAATTTATAAACTCATCGTGAAGTGACACGAGATGGGGAAGGGAGATAAATAGCAGTGGCGAGATAAGAGATGTACACAAAGTTAGATGAGAGAAGAGAGAGAGATGGAGACGCGATAGTGATGATGGAGATCTAATTGTGATTGTTATATTAAATTCCTGGGTCTCTTGAGTTGCCTGGGATCCAAACCTCTTGCTTTGCTTTGCTTTTTTGTCTAAGCGCTGCCACTGCAAATCAAACACTCACACTCTGTCCCACAACCTCATGCCTGTTCCGTTATATGTGTGACCCTCTTTATATTTGATCGAACAAAGACGGCCACTGCATCGCTCGCTTTCATATCCGGAATCCACTGGAGCTACGTCGTTTTAAATCAAGATTGGAAACTAATTTCTTTAAAACTGATCTTGGTGTCGAGTTTGTTGTCCTTCCCCCGCAACCTCCGATCATCACGGTTGGCTACGTACGGTGCGAAAGAAGTTCAACACACATGCGTACACTTCTGCTCTGCTGCTTCACATGCACGTCGATGCTGGTGGCGATGTTCACCTCCAGCGGCGCTTGCCTCCCCACGCCATCTCTGGGCGCAGGGGGGGCAGCAGAGACGCGTCAGGGACGTTTCACTTTTTGCGTTTCGCCGTTGTCACAGACCACGTTTGGTATTTAAGAATTGGAGGATATCCTTTTGGTAACCTCGATTTAATTGCGTACCTATTAAACTTACAGTGCTTAAAATGTTCCACATTGTCCCATTGCAGGTGTGAACATTAACTTAGTCATCACATTTACACATTTGCGTAACACGCGCACGATTGAACTTTTTTTTCACCAAGAAATCTTACAGCGATCATTTAACGTTAAACGAATACGCACATTCTTGCACAGAATTGCCATTATAATGGCCTAAAATAACCGACTATTAGTGACGGTTAAAACTGAGGATTTTATCTTTCGTGTAATTTATAGTTTGATGAGTAATTAAATAGGAGCGTGTTTTAAGACGTTCATTTAAATTCACACACTCAACTTTATTTAGAGCAAATTGTGGGAACGAGCGATAAATATGAAGCACAATTAAAACGATGGAGCTCCTGACCATTGTTTTATAACGCATTAATTATTCACGCGTGCATTGGATTTGAATCTTCAAGTGTCTTTCGTAATTCACTGCATATCCCTTTTCATCGTTGGTTTTGCTGCATTAGCCCAAGGGATGTTCGGTTGTGAAATGCGGCCGCAAATAGATGGTTCGTTCGGTTGTTGTCATTTTACCATTTTGCAACGGGGTTGTTGTTGTTGTTGTTATTGTGAGGTCTTTGTTTGTCTCACTCGACCGGACAGCTTTAGTACCGAGATGTTCCAGCAGCCCACACAGATGCAAGCAGATGGCCACAATGTACATGTTTAAAGGCCCAGAGCTCATTCTAACTTAATGAGCTTCACAGCACTATCGTTATTACTGGTATCTTTTATTTTCACTACGCAACTGTTATGTAATGCCACTGCTAATTAAAAGTAAATAGATGTGTGCCTGCGACTGCCAAAATCCCGATTTGAAAAGGAACCCCACACAATCTATATAAAAGCCTTAATCTGTATGTCTCAAAAAATCTCTTAAGGCACTTACTGACAAGATAGAAAGCTGCAGTTTGGTACATAGGTAGCTTTAATGACACAAACATCAGGACAAATCTGAAAATCCGTCATTTTTCATTTTAAGCCCCCCAAATATCGATTGAAAGTGCCCATGAACATATTTATGCGTGTCATTCATAAACCGTTCAAAATGTCAAATTGCATTTTGTTTCCTTTGACAGAGCGTTAAACGGCAAATACAATTAAAGCGAGAGCCGTTGTTTTATCCTTTATTGTTTTTGAGATATTTCGGATTTAAGCGGTTTTGAACGAAAAAATACGCATTTTATGGTGTTCAAATCTGAATAATTAGAAAACGATCAAAGATAAGAGCTTCTCTTCATAGAATATTAAGTTCTTTATTTTTTGTTCTTTCTAATAACTGATAACTTAATGTTTAAATCGAGCGGTTTATGATGGGCACGCCTTTAAATATAACAAGTTGAATCAAGTCTTCAACAATTTTTTTTCTTTGCAGAAAATTCTAAATTTTTATGTCGTAGATAAAAATTGTAAAAATCATATCAAGTTAATATTATATTTATTTAAAACGTTTGCCTAGCGAACACAGGCTTAATGAACTAGTTACAAATAAAGTGTAATATTATGTATGTACATATACATTGTAATATAATGTATGTACATATACAGTGTAATATAACGTACATATACAGTGCTGATAGGTAATGTCAGTGGGTTCTTACATAGATTGATTAAAAGGTTATTGTATTGTATCTAGATGTAATCAGTCAAAGTGTCTCCGCACTCAAATGAGCGTGGGGCAATGTTTGCCTCCATTTGTGGTCTGAAGCCAGAGTGGAGATCAGAATCTGAATAATTATTTTTACTGGGTGAATCCGATAAGCTATAAAGTTCTTTGTCACAGTTGCCCAGTAGGGGCACAGGGTCAGGACGTTACAACAACAAAACAAAAACACGATAGGAGTGCAAAGTATAGGAAAGGCGAGCAAATCACTTTTTAAAAAATGTACAAATAAAACTAAACTATTTTTTTTATTTTACCAGGTAAGTCCCACCGCGCTATTCGCTTATTTTTCAGAAGCGACCTGGCCACAAACGATAGCTCAACGAAGTGGCTTATCATGCGAAAATGTACAGCAGCCAAATCAGAGGTCGCAAACGGGTTTTGATTCCCTACCCGTACCCAGCTGCACCAGGGTCGCAAACGGGTACCCGTACCCGTATCCGGCCAGGTACGGGTTCCCTACCCGTACCCGTACCCCACCTGAAATGAGTGACAAACGGTGACTCACCAGTGACTCACGGCCTACCCGTACCCGTACCCGGCCGTACCAGGGTCGCAAACGGGTACCCGTACCCGTACCCAGCCGGGTATCGGGTAGGGTACGGGTATCGGGTACCCGGTTGCGACCTCTGAGCCAAATATTCTAAACGATCTCATCTAAAGGCACGTTACAAATATTGCCACGGTCAAATGGGTAACGGCACATTGGACCTGAAATCCAGAGGTCATCGGCTCGATCTGCCGGCGTGGCAGTTGGGCAAGTTTCTAAAATCTCGCCCAACTCTGTGCACACCAACAGTGGCCATGGGTGCATCACCACAGGTCGTCGATTGGCAGCTTGCACGCGGTGGGGTAAAGTGTGGATACTCTCCCGCCTCTTGCAAAGACGTCTGACCAGCGTGGAAGAAGAGGAGGCCAAACACCCTCTCGAGGGGCTTTCTATAGCCTCCCTCAGCCAGCAGTGGCATGAGCAGAAATTGCAGCACTGCACCTTTATAATACTCAGTTTAACGACGATGTGAAAGTGACGCTGGGCAGGATTGTAACTTGCAAATGTCCAACTAGGAAGGGCTGCTTTGCTACGAACTGAGCAGCGTTCGCAGGAACACATTCGAATAAATAACACAACTCATAATCAACAGATATAATTCGAACTGTCCATTAACTCGTGCTGTGCAAATGTAATTGGCTCGTGAACGTCGCGAATGAGAGGCGACGTCGCGAGCTCTTAGGGGCCGTCCATAAATGACGTCACGCACCTAGGGGGGGGGAGGTCGGGGGGGTGAGGAATGTGACGTCACATCAAAATGCGCAACTTTAAATAAATATAGACAACACGTTCTACTTAATTAAATATACGTTTTAATAAATGTTTCCTCCTACAATTAAATACGCACTACAATGACAATAGTTTAAAGCGATTTGAAGCATGTTTTATTTTTTTGAGGGGGAGGGGGTCAGAGCTTGTGACGTCATATTTGAGGGGGGGTCTGACTTTTTGTGACGCCGTGTGACGATAGGGAGGGGGTCAAAAATCGGGTAAAAAATTGTCCAAAATCGCGTGACGTCATTTATGGACGGCCCCTTTGCACCGGAGGGCTCTTTGGGCCGCGTGGCGCCTCGCCACCCCCCCGGGGTGCACGGGGGGTGCTGCTGGGGGGGGAGGGAGAGCCGAGCCGAGGCATCTGCTTGGCACGGGAGCAACGCGCGCGCTGACAGCGCCCTTGCAACATGACGGAGCCTCCCTCCCCGTAATCGTCACCACCACCACCATCATCATCATAATAATTCTGTCGCAGGGAATAAACCGTTTGCCACTCAGTGTGCTGCCTAATAGGCTCTTAATATTACGCTTAGTGGATATTTCACGGTAGTGCGCTGTAATGTGCAGGCCTTCAGATGAAGCCAAAATATAAAGAAATGTCTGTCCTCAAATGTAAGGGGAATTGGCCAAAGGCGCCCTAGCAGCGCCCTGTTGCAAAAGAGGATTGAGGTTCAGACGACAGTTGCCTGGATGAGGAAGCGACGATCGTGGTTGTTCTGATATCGTGTTTACGAATATGCACTGTCGGTGAGCAGAATCCGGAATACTCATTACCTGTTGAAGATAGTATCGATAAAGGCAATCATCACTATTGTTATAAACCGTTTATATGTTGAGCCCATTGGAAACGTGGCCCCTTGCCTCCCCCCCCCTGACTCCCCCCCCCCCCCTCCCCCCTTGACTCCCCCCCTCCCCCCTTGACTCCCCCCCCCCTGACTCCCCCCCCCCTTGACTC